GTATATACTTCAGCATTTCTATATTAAGTTGCTCATAACTTTCACAAAACTGTATTTTTTGTTCTTGAAGGATCTGTAAATCTGCTGAGATGCACAAATGTTTAGCAATGGATATCAACTGGGGCTGGATAGTCAAACACAGCATAATTTCATCATAATTCAATTCTTTTTCTGTCAGTCTTTTGTGAAGTGTGACCATCAGAGTCTTAACTTCATTAATCCACCCAAGGTACCTAAAGAAAAGCAGATTAATCCTCACACATTATAGCCATCCATCCATGCAACACTCACACCTTTTATTGCTTCATCTTCACAAGCACTAGGTTTCATAATTATTATGCCTTAAGCAACCTATGATGCATGTGCATGTGCAAGAATATGTCCACTACACCAAGGCTAGTGTTAGGCATTCTTTGCTTTCAGCTAGGTGCAGCTACCTAGTAGCATCCGAGGGTTTGCACTTTAGTGCTTTTCATTTTTATGTATAATGTAGAGAAGCATATATTAATGATCACCTTAAGTGCAAGAATGATGTATGTGTGTATAATAGGTGCCACCAGCTACGACAGTCTTTACAGCTAAAGGCACATACCCGTAAGTACTGATTGGTGCACACTCATAATTACAGCGAAATGTCTACTTTGTGCGACACTTCACCCTAATAACTTGTGTATTTTAAGCTATGAATAGTATTCAAGCACCATTGAATTCCTTGTGCCATTCAAGTTACATGCAACATTAAAAGGCTAGAAGTTTAGAAACCCTTACACTCTTTCAGTGGCATAGCAAAGAATGTCAAAGTCAATATCAAGTGACGCAACATTGGCACACAAGGCAATCTACAGTGTATAGCAGGCAAATGCACAACAAAAAAGCCACAGCTCTTTACACCTGGACAGACTTGGCAGTAATAACGACACGAATGTTTCTGGTTTTGGTGGGTTGGTCCTGCTCTGAGAACAAAGTGGCTAAAAACTATGGCTAAAAAAGACTTGTGTAGCCTTTCCGACTGCTTTATTCATTAAATCATGACATTGATAGTTAACTAATATTTTTTTGTTCGCACCAATATTTTAGTTCACCTGTGCATTGTACACAAGCAAAAAATCACCCAATATTCTATGTATTTCCACTTAAAAACCGCCTCCATATCAGTAGTTCTGCACCTACATACTGTGGTGGAGAGTTACATATGTCCCGTTCGATGTTCATGTAGCTGACCTCACATTACTACAAGGAACAGGACCTGTCGTAAACATGCAGTTTAATGTGAGCATAGTTGCACACATGTATGCAGTTGTGGTTGCACCTTTCTGGTTCCATAGAAACGTGAAATCATGAATAATGCAATTCAAAAAGTATTCAAGTACGTAACCAAATTTACAGGTGCCCCTTTGGGCATAATTGCTTCCAGAGGGCCTAAGTACGTAGCTATGTAATATTTAAAACACTGTGCGCCGCTTAGTATTTCTCCATGTTGCGAAGCAATAACGCACGCGCCATTTAAGTGACGCGCGGCGCCCATATGCACTCACGCGTGAAAATTTGTTTACTAGTAACTCACATCGTGTATACTAAGTGCCCGCGGTGTTGGTTGCCTATGCCTATGAAAACACACATGCAAGTGCATTGGGAATACTAGGCATCACGTCTTCTGAAATCTACGTACGTTAAAAGCCGCCGGGCCCTTCATATGGCATCCTTGCTGCACTCAGAACGCCACAACACAAGGTCCCTCGGGCTTCTAATATTATGTGTAGATTTCTAACTGTTATGTAGAACACACTTAGCCGACTTATTACCCTTTGGGCGCCATAGGTGTCTCCTTAAATAAGCAGAAATTGATGTATAACATATTAGCGCCTAGTATTATAGCCATATATAAATTCTTATGTACTTATGGAGGCTCTGTGCATATATATATGTAAATGGCGCCCAAAGGGTTAAGTGTATAATAATTATGTGCGCACAAAGTTAATGCAATACGCTAATGCATAAGCCCCAACAAGTAATGTCAGTGAATCGTGTTCTATTTCAGGTCACATGGCACTTTCGTACGCTGTGGCACGTTGTGGAACAGAGACTTTTTGCTAGTTCTGTTGTTGCTAAGATCTACGCACCTATGATGCGAGTGTCAACGTTTTATGCCTTCTACAAAGAGTTCTGACTTGCCATAGTCTGACCGCGGAAAGTAGCAAACTCGACAGCACGAAATTGCATTAATTATGTACACTTAAGTGATTAAATGCAGAGTTTGCCACACCTCTGATTCGCCAGAAGTCATATGATCAATAATAAACTTGGTTTTGTAAATGTAAGGTCTTTCTCACCATCACCGACTTATCCAGTTTTGTGCATTGTCTTTACTGAACATTACTGCCATATTTACCGCTTAGATGTATAGAATTAATGTAGTTACTGACATACACTCTTTGGTCACCACATTCCTCGGTGGATGGTTCAAATAGGTGCATATCTCCCTTTCTGTGAGCAGATACCCCAAAGATACGGCAGAGGAGATTGATGATGTGTACATTATCATTCAACCACTGGAGGTTATGTTCATCCAAGGGCACCTTCACACAAAATCTAGCCACAACACCCCAGCAGAAACCCTGTTTTGTAGAAATAACAGTTATATTCCAGTTTTGGCACAACTCCTTGACACTCTTCTCAATGATTGCCAGAGCTGCACCAGCTGGTGCACATCTCCATTTCTGCGTGAAATCAGGAACAACCTCTTCTCCGACGGCGGCAAGAACTAGGTCCTGGAAATCATCTTTTTCAGTGTTAAATGTGTCCTGTATAAAAAGGCAACATACTACTCTGGTCTATACATGTTCTTCTTTACCATAAGGCCAATGATATGATGCAGAAGACGGTTTTGTAAATCATGTTTTTCTATAGATTTCTGAAGGAAACTCTTAAAATTATCCAGATCTTCCTTTTCGGATACTCCCTTTGCAAGAAGGCCAGGTACATCAAGTGATAGCAAATCCAGAATGAACATATCTGCTCTGCCATCCTCCTGATATGATACTCCAACTGACAACAAGAAGTTGGTTATGAAGTATGGAGAATTTTCCCCTGAGTATCTGCAAAGGGAATGTTCCATTAAGCCACATGGTAACAAGTAAATAGAAGATTAGAAAAGCAAGGAGACAAGACAGGGACGATTGTGATGTGTAAATTTTCCTCCACACACACAAGCCTTACATTGTCGCCACTTTTACTCATAACATGAATTTGTTTAGTGCGAGGGCAATGGTAAAGGGATAATGTTGAGGCCCAGGAATGCAGCATTTTAAAACTCATGGTTAGTTGAGTGAACATGGAAGTCTTAGACAATGCAGTCACAACCAAAAACTGAGGAGCTGTCAATGGGGGGAACCATTAACAAATGAACATACACCCAAACTGGTGTCTGTCTCACGTCCCGGACACCTCAACCCACCCCTTCCACCAGCGAACAACTGCAGCTCCCCAGATGCAATCTGAGACTGGGACTGTTACGTACAACCTACCCGTTCTTAGCTATCTATTTTAACCTAGCTGTAGGTGGTTACTATTGTTTGTGATAACATCATAAATCTAGCATATATAAACCTAAGTAGGAGTTAAGAGTGGCTAGTGAGCGTGGCTATATCTCGGAGTGAAAAAAAACATCACAGAGAGCATACATGAACAGCGATTGTCATGAGTTACAGCATCAGTTACATCAGAACAGTACAGCATGTGATGCAATCGGCCTGTGAGCAGCATGTACGGACTCTTAGGCAGAAACAGCGACCCATCCTGCTTTCTCGCCTCAGCAACATACATGGACGGCGATTTACACAAGACAGCACTGTCATGACCTAACAAAAGACTGTTGGGTAGCTGTCTCTCAGGCTCACTCTGAGTTACACACAGGCAACATAGTGCTTGTAGCGGTGTTTTTCGGGACACACTTCTCCGGCGGCCTCCACATCGTAGACGACGGTCCGTTGTTGCGGCTTTTCTTATGCAGCGAGAGGCATTTTCTCTTTGCCGCATGTTCCTTCTCCCTCGGGGGTGGATCGTTCTCATGAGAATCTGTCCAGTCCTCCACCTGTAGACGCAGGCTTTTGTTGCTAGAACTCACACAAGAAGACGATGTGATTTTCCTGGTCGATTCAAACTGCCTGATTTTACGGAGTGAACGGGAAAGTTACGAAAATCGCTCGCTTTGTTGCTAGAGATGACGTTGAACCACCTAGCAACAACTGGCTATAAATCAATGAAAAGCACTAAAGTGCAAATCCTCGGCGAACTGCGCATGCACGATACTGCTAATTGATGGGCTGGGCCATTACTAGTATGCGTTTACTCGTGGTCTACCACTAGTAGCGCGTGTGGAGAGTCTGACACGGGCTAGCAACAGTAGTAGATAGCATGCAGGAGTTGATACATGTCATTCGTTGTGACTTCCTGAGCCCTCAAGGTACACAGAGCGAACGGATCAGGTCGCTGTAAGCCCAGTGCGATTATGCATATCGGCTTTTCAGGAAAATCGCCCTTTTGTTTTTCAGGCTCGCGAAGTTCTGAAGTCGCTGGTATCGCTAATAGGCCGCCTCGTAGCCTGTAGTGCCAGACTAAGCGTTGACACACACAAACACACACACTGACAGACAGACAAACCAACTACTGTAACCCTCGCCGCGCATGTGCGCCGAGGGTTAAATGTCACACCCCTAAACGGTATGTTGTGGTTTATAGGCCCTTAACCCCTCAGGGCCTATAAACCGGCCACATACCTCTTAGGAATGTAATAACTAATATATATAAAACCCTTAATAAGGTCAAGCAGAGAACCAAATTTTATCCTCCCACAGCTCACTACTCAAAATAAAGGGTGCTTTCCTGACACTATCGAGCAACTGGAAATCCTCAAATCCATTCCCAAGCTTCCCTTACAGTAGGAAATTGCTCCTAAGACTCCAATATGCTTGACACCCCCACAATACATGACTCACACTTTCACACTCATCACCACATAACAGGCACTCCTTCATCTTCTCCCTCCCCCTATATGCTATATGCCTACCGAGTTCCTCATTTAGTCCATGCGTGAACTTAAACATTAACCAGCAACACTTGCCCCACACAAGTATTTTGATCTCTACCACCTATTTAAATGTCTTATGCTTTACTTTTCTATTTAGTCCCTCTTCAAACTTTCTGATCTGATCTCCATCTCTGTCCCCTACTATAGACAAAAATCCCTTAAAGGAGCAATCCCAATTTTTAATATCACTCTGTGTTGTCGAGACCAAAGACCTTACTCCAGCACTTCCTCTGCCTGCCTTTCGTGGCTTAAAATTCCATTCCTGATTGACCTTGCTCTTGAACTTCTCTTCAAACGTTTTACCTGAATAACACTATCCACTGGAATGGGAATAAAAACCGTACCCCCCACTTCAAATGTCATGAATGAACTCCAACTTTTAATGAGGGAAAAGATCCTTTCCCCAAGTCTTCCTCTGTCTACCTTTATGAAACTATATTGGCTAAAACATACCTGCCATAGATACGACCCCTTCAAACTTAAACCATGCAATGCATATCCACCCAAACTGCCACCCAGAAGAGCCTCCACACTCAAAACCCGTGTAAGGTAGGTTTAAAACTGACAGAAGCAACAACCTTTGTGCAATTGATTGGTATCCTGATTACTGATTATGGTTGTTCCTCGGCACTACAAGCTGCGAGGTGGCCTATCAGTGATACCAACGGCTTAAGAACTTCGCGGGCCTGAAAAAGAAAAGAGTGATTTGCGTGAAACGACTGCTTTCGATAAACTGGCACAGTCGCGGACGGAGTTACATGGCCCAACCCGCATGTGTCTATTATACGCGTTCGAAATGGGCGGACCTGACCGGGTCCGCTTGCTTTGTGTATATTGAAGGCACAAGAAGTCACAACGAAGGGCATGTATCGACTCCCGCATGCTATCTACTACTGTAGCTAGACTCTCCGCGAGATAGTAGCGGGAGAAACGCATACTCATAGCCCAGTCCACTATTATCCTCTTAGAACCTCCGAAAGGGATGAAACCTAAATGAGGGTCTGGTGGCACTAATGACCACTTCTCCCGAATGAATAAAGTGGTAACCATTATGCAGTAGTTTGCACAGCACAGAGGCATAGATTTTAAGCTTAGCAAGGCTGTTCCGGCAAAATGAAGTCAGAAGGCGTGCTGGGGAGCAAGCCGATGGCCAGTGGCAGCAGACATAGCCTAGGAACTCGAGACACCAGCCGGTAGAATCTGTATAACGGCAGGAAATGCCAACACCTTTACCCCGATCGTCATGGCAACCATGTCAAGGTACTTGCAGGCATTTTCCCATATTGTAGCAGCACTTTTACAAGTTTCTGGTTGTCGCCTTTTGCCCATAAAATACTGTCAAAGTACGGAACCACGTGCTGTGCACATCGCGCATGTTAAGATACTCAGGGTATGACCACACAGTACTCACCTGATCATACACTGCTATAACTATACTAATTATTTCCTTGTACCATTACTATGCGAACAGAACTGACGTACTTATGTACCAGTCATTCAGCAAAACAAATTGTCAGAAACACCATTCGTTGTAACAGTTATGGTATGCACTTAGGTCTGCACTCAACAGGGGTTAATTGCAGCTGGACACGGGCTAAATCCACCAGCCACAATTCAAAGCCCCTATCCTATGAACATTACCTCTTTGAAACCATTTTAAGGAGCTGTATCCAATATGGATCAATTATCCTCATTCCTTTTTCCAATTTATACTGGTTCAGGTACTCAATAACAAGTTCGGTTGGCCATATATCAAAAGCTTCATATAGTGGGGCAAACTTCCGGATTGTCAATTGCGAAAATTTCTCCCTGACTGAAGCAACAACCTAAAAAAAACACAAACACAACTAACAACAACAAAAAAGCAAAAAAACTTACTCTCTTGTTAATATTTTTGCTGCATTCCTTTGCAACACCTTTACCACGTATTATTATTTCCAGTTGCTTTATCGCCTGTCCTAAGGTCACATCAATCAGCTCTAATAACAGCTGCAGCCACTTCCACAACTCTTCCTTAATTTGGCCAGAATTTTTGGCATCATGCTCACTCCATATATCTTTAATGGAGTTTAGAAAACCCAATCCCTGTGTGCGGTACACAAAACAAGGTATTGATAAACATCCTGTATGTTTGTTAATAGCAGTTCTGATACAGCTCTACATATAGGTTAGACGTGCAAGCGAATTGTGTACGCTACATTGCTATCTGAGGGACAGTGGAATGTGGCTTCCCAAGGCCAGCGAGGGCGCTACCCACAGGCCTCAAAAATTGCAATGAATCCGCGCCGGTTATACAAATCCCTCTGGATTATACATACCCCGGACTGGATATAGCATATCCCGCACTGGATATATAAATCCTGCACTGGATATAGCATATCCCGCTCCGGATATATAAATCGTGCACTGGATATATATCCAGTGCGGGATTTATATCCAGTGCAGGATTTATATATCCGGAGCGGGATATGCTATATCCAGTGCAGGATTTATATATCCAGTGCGGGATATGCTATATCCAGTCCGGGGTATGTATAATCCGGAAGGGATTTGTATAACCGGCATGGATTTTACAAATGACGCGCGGGATAAAAAAACAGCTATTTGCAAAATTTTTGAGACAGACGGCGCCCCATAGAAGCATGCAGTTTGTTTGCCCAGAAAATGACTTCTGAGAATTGCTGTTTTTCTTTGTAAACCATCCAATATACATCTGCAACAAGGTGTCTCTGTGAAAAATCAACCACCTGCAATTCTGCAATCTGATTGGTCATTGCGCGTGACTGCAGTCTAATTATGACTATAGGAATGCAACGCATTGTTGTCGAGCGAACACAAGCAGTTCAATATTTCGTGCGTGTTTTGTGTGTAGTTAGAATCACCTACAACATTGCGGTATGTGCTCACCAATTATACAGCTGCATAGAGTATAGTGTGGGTCAACTTGGGTAAAGATTATGTGCTTGTCACATCTCTGACTGTAGTTATGCCAATTTCCATTATGTAACTAAGCTGGTCATGCACATGTATTTAATTGAGCAATCATGCGTCACTTGCACATGCCTATGGGCAGCAAGTTCCAATAAATGTGACTAGGCTACAATTCGGTTATGGTTGGTGGTGTTACCGCTTCAATAATAGGCTTTGTGTCACATAAAGGACATGATGATGTTATTAGTGTAAGTTCATGCCCTGGCTCTCACACTACATTGCGTGTGGCTTCAGCTACCAATAGTACGATGTACAGTATATTTTTCTATCCATTGATAATGTAGAGGCTTCTCGATTCAAGTTACGTGGGATAAGGATGCTGTTCAAGGGCTCTGCATCTTACCATTACTAGACAGTTGTTACCCTCGGCGCGCATGCGCAGCGAAGGTACAGTAGTTGGGTCTGTCTGTTTGTCTGTTTGTCCGTTACTCTATATCTCACTCCTCGAACGTCTGTTCGTCCCAGAAACGATACCATCTACCCAACTGGGCGACGAAGGTCAGAAATTTGTGCGGTTTTCTCTGAAAATGCTCCGTTGCAAAGCTAGAGCACGAAAAAGCCAATATGCAAATACGCAATGGACGGGGGATGTCTTACCGCGGTCTGATCGATCCGCGTGCTCTGCGACCTCGGAGGCACCAGAATATGCAACGCCTCTCGCATGCTGTCTAGTAGTGTAGTTAGCCCGCGTCAGACTCTGCGCGAGATGGCTAGAGACCAGAAGTAACAGCCAGAACTAAACCCAGCCCATTAATTAGTGATACAGCGCATGCGTTTACTCACGCGTGCGCGTCACAATGCGCCGAGGGTTTGCACTTCAGTGCTTTTCATTGGATGAGCAACTGTATAAAAAATTTGACGAATGAAAAATGCATGGATGCGATTGTTTTTCCTCTGTGCATGTGTACTCTAGCAAAGATGTGTTTCGCGGCATTTTAACCCCTTCAATTTTATTATCTTACCGAGAAAAAGGAAAATGCAAGCCCAGAACAAAGTAGAGACTTGCATTTGAGGCAATGTTCTTTGTAGAGATGATGAGCTCACACAGAGAAAGAAACGAAAAGCTCCATCACATTGACAACATGCAGCATTCATACACAAGATGCACAACTGTCAACTCTCGAGATGAATCACAAATCAAAATAGTGAATGACCAACTATGACTCAGGCCACGCCATAAGGTAGATCATGGTTTCTTAACACCTAACCAGCAATGGACACATAAATATGTCCAGAGCCTCCATAAGTCCACAAGAATTTATATAGGGGTTATAATACTAGGTACTAATACTTTATACACCACTTTCAAGTAACGTAACTTTACGGTAACCTTACTTCGAAGTAACGCTACTTTCGTTTACTTTTTTGTGACTCATACTGTACATCAATTTCTGCTTATTTTAACGCAGATACTCATGGGGTCCAAAGGGTTTTAAAGTTATACCACCGAGACATAAGACTGGCATAGCAATAGTAAATTACCTCCTCCAGAGTCGCAGCAAGAGTGCCTCTCGCACTGCACAGCTTATAGCCTTGAGCTTGAGAATCTTTTAAACCAAAGGTATAAATGCTACGTAAGTGGGTCATAATGTGACGAAAATCCTTATCTCTTAGGTGTTCGTGAAGCTTTGTAAAAAAGTACCTACACAAAAAAATTAATTTAAACTTGTAAACTAAAAATATTAAGACACCCACCTGAGGTACTGAAAAAAACACAACTCCTTGTGATATGACCCAATGATATGATAGATTAAACCACCACTAAACTCCTTCGGAAGTCCAATTGTCTCCAAGAACACAACTCCACTTTTAACACTATCGACAAGATTCTCATTCATAACTAACTGGCAGCGGCTACTTGGGAAATAATCCATCAACAATTCACACTCTTTTGGTATATGGTTACATATCTTGGACTTTACCTTCACAGCCAATGACACTGCATATATACCATTAAGCATGATACTTTAGAAAATTATACCAATTTCAGACTTACCCCACAGCATTCGTTTGTAGAAATACTTATCACTGAGCCTGTCTGAGGAGATTTCGCACATATCGATGCAAGCTTTCTCAAACAGAGAAAAAACACTGAATGTCATTTCTTTTGAATCCCTTTGATGAAACATGACTCTAATTTCTTCACCACTGGAAAGAAACACAACAGTAACTGCCTGCTCTAGAATCAATTCATTCTAAGGGCTAAAAACTTTTAAAAGAGAAGAATACAGGGATGGAAGATAGGGATGAGACACATGGTTTACAAAAACATTGTGAGCATGCAAATCCCTGACCCAATCACAAAATTCGTAAATTGTTGCCTGGTGTGCCAATCTTACTCTTTACTCTGTTAGTATTAGCATGCATTGTCACCTGTCTTTAAAGTCCTGCTGAAACACTTATAATGTTATGGTGAATTTTTATTCATTCACATGTGGACAAATTGCTTAATCTGCAGCTCCTTTCACCGTATTAAAATGACCATTATGTCTGCCAAAAGTGAACATCTTAGGAGAGAATACAAAATCAGGACAGTACTTTCTACTATAACCACCCTACGATGCCAACTAACATAATAGGGTCAAAAGTATTGACTCGTTATGGTCTGGAGTGGTGTAATGTAATTGTGGGCTGGCCTATATCAAGAGGAAATTACATCCACATAAAACCTCTCATAGAGGGTAGGTAGTACAAAATGCCTTTTGTGCTTAGCAATTGAGTAATACCTGCACATTATAACAGGGAGTACAATACTTTTGTTGCAGATCACTAGCCCTAGCCCTATTTAGTTGCAGGTCAGTAGTCTTACCCCTACTTAGTCGTTGCAGACCACAAGCCTTAGCCATACTTAGCCATCCCTAGCCCTACTTAGTCCAATACTTAAGTATGCAGTAGCTCTAGCACTATCTACACTACGGTAACACGCAATTGACCAATAAGATTCCGAGTTTAGAGGTAACTAGTTACATCTTCCGCAGTAACTATTTCGCGGCCCTGCAGCACTTCGTACTGGCCATGGAAACCACGCCTTCAATTAGAGAGACGCTGTGCGTGCGGATGGCAACCGAAGCTTGTGGAAAGGGTCTTTCTCACGAAAAAACCAGGTATTCGGTCTTCTAGTAGGAAGCGGTGCATGACTACAGGGTCCTAGAGCCAGACGGGCAGGCTAGCAGTGAGTGTGAGAAGTACCCAGCGGCCCCGCCTACTTTCGCGTTAGCGAGCCTCGCCACCAAGAACAAACACTCCTATAGCCTTGCTGGTATAGTAGTTGTGTACGCCTGCTCGAACTGGCTGCTGGCAGCAGCAAAGAGCCTGTCTACTTCCAGCTCGTCCTCAGTAAAAAGAACCATAATCTGTCTGTGACCCCAGTTAGCCGTCCATCCTCAATGCAGCGTGCGTTGTTGTGCGTTGCTAGCTCCTGCGCTGTAGTCGAAGATGGTTAGATGCGTTCCTTTGGGAACTACGCGATTTAGTGAGCCTCGGGGCCATGGTAGTATAGCGCCCTCGCTGCGCTCGGGACGCCGACAGCCGGGCCCATGCCACGGCCATCGGCTCACTAGTTCCCGTGGTTCTGCATCTAACCTATACTTAGTTCAACAAGTAAATTAAAAATGCTGCGAATTTAAAAAAGAGGCATATAGGGATGGTATAAAAAGAAAGGGAGACAAGATAGGGATGGGATACATGAAACATGAACAGATTTGAGTACGCTGACACCCCCAACCCCATCGCACAATCCCTATATTGTTACCTGGTGTGCTACTCTTATAGGGGCTGAAGGTTACTAAAAGCAAGCATTCTTTCAGTTTGAGGAGTGAAGAAGTAATTTCAAAGAAAAGTGCCTGAGGCTATTTGTTGTTGTGGTCGTCATGGAAACGATGTTACACACAATGCGTACCAAGTTTCATCTCCATGCGTGGTACCATTAGCGAGTTTGAGGAGTGAAGAAGTAATTTTAAAGAAAAGTGCCTGAGGCTATTTGTTGTTATTGTCGTCATGTAAACGATGTAATACACGTGCGCACCAAGTTTCACCTCCATGCGTGCTACAATTAGCAAGTTTGAGGAGTGAAGAAGTGGTGTTAAAGAAAATTGCCTTAGGCTTTTTTCAAACAAAATGCGGTCGTCATGGAAACAAGTAATCGTCATGGAAATGATATAATAGGCATACGTACCAAGTTTCATCTCTGTGTTCTACCATTGGAAAGTTTAGGAGTGAAGAAGTAAATATAAAGAAAAGTGCCTGAGGCTATTTGTTGTTGTTTACAAACATGTATTGTTGTAATTTTGATGTTGGTGATTGAATACATTATGTCTACAAAGTTTCGTTCACATAGCTCTTACCATTTGTGAGTTATACTGACACATGTGATCCCTTTATAATGTATTGCCTGGGGCTATATTTGTTGTTGTTTACAGTAAACAATGTTGTTTACAAAGAAATAAGTATGACCAGTCTATTTGGGTGATGGAGATCTACATTCTTTACAAAATTTCATTACCATATGTTATTTCGTTTTTGAGTTGTGGATCATAGAAGAATCATAGCCCCATACATCTATGATGCTAGGTACCATGCCAATCCCTATATACTAACAAGTAAATTAAAAATGCTGCGAATTTAGAAAAGAGGCATAGAGGGATGGTATAAAAAGAAAGGGAGACAAGATAGGGATGGGATACATGAACATGGTTAATGAACTGATTTGAGTACGCTGACACCCCCAACCCCATCACACAATCCCTATATTGTTGCCTGGTGTGCTACTCTTATAGGGGCTAAAGGTTACTAAAAGCAAGCATTCTTTCACCGTCTCCCTGTTGTTTTTAGTAACATTTATATTGCCACATTCCCTTTAATTAACTCCACTTGGACTCTATAAGGGTGTTGGTTACTCAGTAGTGTATTTTAAGTTGTGAGTATTTTAATGGTGAATGTTTAATACTTCACCTGGGCAACAATATAGGGATTGTGTGATGGGGTTGGGGGTGTCAGCGTACTCAAATCTGTTCATTAACCATGCTTCATGTATCCAATCCCTATCTTGTCTCCCTTTCTTTTTATACCATCCCTATATGCCTCTTTTTTAAATTCGCAGGATTTTTAATTTACTTGTCTCCACTCATTGTTATATACTACTACGTATTATCTCTGTGGAAGGGGGCAAGCCCCTATAAAAATTAATAATAGAGAATAAAGGCCTGTTGTCGTCATGCAAATGATATGCATACCATGTTTCATCTCCATGTGTGCTGCCGTTAGCAAGTTGGAGGAGTGAAAAATAATTTTAAAGAAAAGTGGCTGAGGCTATTTGTTGTTGTGGTCGTCATGGAAACGATGTAATACCATGTGCACCAAGTTTCGCCCCCATGCGTGCTACAGTTAGCAAGAGTGAAGAATTTTAAAGAAAAGTGCCTGAGGCTATTTGTTGTTGTGGTCGTCATGGAAACGATGTAATACAAATGCGTACCAAGTTTCATCTCCATGCGTGGTACCATTCGCGAGTTTGAGGAGTGAAGAAGTAATTTTAAAGAAAAGTGCCTGAGGCTATTTGTTGTTGCGGAAACAATGTAACACACATGCGCACCAAGTTTCACCTCCATGCATGCTACAGTTAGCAAGTTTGAGGAGTGAAGAAGTAAATTTAACGAAAAGTGCCTGAGGCTATTTGTTGTTGTTTACAAACATGTATTGTTGTAATTTTGATGTTGGTGATTGAATACATTATGTCTACAAAGTTTCATTCACATAGCTCTTACCATTTGTGAGTTACTGACACATGTGATCCATTATAATGTATTGCCTGGGGCTATTTGTTGTTGTTTACAGTAAACAATGTTGTTTACAAATAAATAAGTATGACCAGTCTCTTCGGGTGATGGATATCTACATTCTTACAAAATTTCATTACTATATGTTGTTTCGTTTTTGAGTTACGCGAGTTCAATCTGAAGAAGAAGGAGAAGGAGGAGAAGATGAACAAAACTCCCTATCATAGCCCAATACATCTATGATGCTAGGTACCATGCCAATCCCTATAATACTAAGTACTACCGTACTTAGTGATAAGTACTACCGTACTTAGTGATACTACCGTACTTAGTGATACTGAACTATCGATGCCCCTAGCCAAATTCGCTACATAAAAAGGCTTGTGTTGAGGAAAATACGCAAGCAATGTCAGTATTAAGTATGTATGTAGCCCTCATCTCACATACTACTGGACTAGGGGATGTTCATGTAACACAATGGAAAGCATAGCTAAGACAGTCCGAACCACGCTGAACACACATCAGTGTGCTGACATCTTCACCTTTGTCACATCCTTGTTCGACGCAATGTTGTGCCAAAGTACCTATGACCTATACAATTTCTCTGAGAAGAAAAAAAAAAGTTGTCTCCATTGATCTACTTAAATCTGCACCCCTGGATTTACAGTTGTTTGACACCTCAATTCTCACTATCTTGGCCAGAGTGTCTCACTTACGAAGGAGCCAGGGGAGTGTAATAATTATAGTGACTCACAACTGCCATAAAACATTTATGCACAGTCATGTTTTCCATAGAGCGTCTTTTGAGTGAGAATAGTTTCACGCTACTGCACAGACTCCGCACATGAGCTCTGCGTACCGTAATTCTAGCAGCTACTTTTCAAAGCCACACCTGGGTATATTAATGTCCACTAGGCAGTTAGAGATCCCTAGAGAGTTAGAGAGTTTGTTTGCGCTGTTGTTTGTTTGTATATCTAGCAATAGCCAATCCTCGACTATACCATGGATGCTGGTTGGTTCCATGTGAGTGCTCGCACCTGTGCAGACTGGATGTAGCTCCTCAAAAAACAAGTGGACAGGTAGATCGATGCTTTGCGATAACATGATATGCAACGCTACAGTAAACGCTATCGATGAGCAAGAAAAATGAGAAACCTAACTGGGAACACGATCTCTTACCCTCACACAAGGTGTTCGGAGCACAAAACAAAATGGCACTTAACACTAGTACCTATCAAAAACCCGTCTGAATATTATTTTGCTTAGCATATCCTGCTAATAAAATACAGGCAAAAGGCTAACACTAAAGAAGTATGTGTAACAGACGACAGACATATCAATCATTCACCACTTCGCACTTTGGTTAAGAGCATTTGTTCTTAGGGACACATAACTGCAGGCTGTACAATGCACTACCCTAGCACATCAACGACGTTTATTCCATTGCATGATAACTCATTCTGCTTTCTTATGGTTGACTTTATACATTTTTCACTCACGCTCCCTGCAAAAACTACCTCCTCAGTCAGCTTGCCTCACAATTTGGCGACAAATAACAATTATGGTGGAAGTTTTAAAGAAAATGGATATTGGTATCTAACTTACCTAAGAAATCTGGTTAATCTTTCAGCAATGATACAACTTGCCGCAGTTTCCATCTCACAAATACACATATTTATAAACTTTTGACATTCACCCTGATGGTATTTGATGCCCAATTTTCTGCAGTTGGATTTCTCACATTAATTGATAAAACTAATTAAGAGGTAAAGGGACACTCACAGATGAAATTTATATGCCAAAATGATATAGAAGGGAAAATCTTCAGGAAATCTTAACTTGATGTGGCTGTTAATCTTCTGCACAACAACTTTTAAGTCCTCTGGTTCAGGCTTTCCCTGCATAATACATAAATGTGAACATTTATCGTATGTCATTGATACATGTGTCCATACAGGAGATCCGTGTAATGCTACTGGCACATTAATGTGTCCATGAATTACTCACTCACACACACACAAACTTTGCGTGATAAACCATGAGACCAGAGAATGAAATGTGCAGAAGCGATGAAAATGCAAGTGTGTTTATGCAGGATTTGCTAGACAACGTCTACGACTATTTCCATACAATGTGGAACAAAATGACATTAGAAACTAGTCTTATAGTCCTGGAATAATCATCCTCAATTAATTGCCGGCATAGAGCATAGCCTACTTTATATTTAAAGCATCTATTACACAAGGTTTTAACAAATTCAGCAGAGAGCTAACACCTTTTCTCAACTTAACACTGCGATCACGATCCATAAGCACCTTAGAAGAAAATGGGACATAATATGACAGGGATGGGCGAAAACACCTCCTGTGGGAAGACGCAAGCTACTCTAGTAGGTCACCGTACACTGCGATATCATACCGTGAAGCGTGAGTCTCACCTAGTGTTATCTTTGCTCAGAGCATAGTTAAGTAGAGATACGTAGACTTACAAGATTGGAGAAATCGGGGACATTTCAAGTAACCTTGAGCATAAATAACCATCGGCACACATGCGCAGCGGGGGTTACGGTACTTGGTCTGTAAGTTTGTCTGTCTATCTATTACCACGTTTTTTGCCACCACACGCAACGAGACAACAAAAGAGTGGTACCAAAAGTTTCAGCGCTACACTGGCTTGATTTTTAATTTTGCGATTTTTGTATAAGTACTGCGTTCGAGAGTTATGGTGTGAAAACCAATTGAACAAGCCAATATGCTAATTAGTATTGGCTTACCCTGCACGGATTCTGCTCTTTGTGCACTGCGGAATGCGATCAATGGAACGAGTGAAGAGTGCAGCGAAATCTAAACGCTAGTTTAGCTAGCGAAAGAAATCTAAACGTTAAGTATAGCTAGCTGAGCGGGTATCCCGACTGTGCCAACCGTGGGTAATTATACCGATCCCTCCACACCTGCGTATGTTACACTAGCGCGCGCGTTTGTGATTTGCATGCGTATGCATCAAGCATGCATAGACACTGAGCTCAGTGTGGCTTCATTAGTCGTTGTCCCGTGGAAGCTACCTGTATAATCGATGCCAACTCTTAGCAAAGGTCTGGGTTAGCGCGGATGAACGCTAGCCTCCCACAGGTTTTACAGAGCCTTTTCCCTTAAGCCCTTCAGAGCACACGTGCACAACAGCCCTTGTTCCCAGCTTTTTTTGTCAGTATATAATAGACTTTCCAGGATATTTCTGATACTTGAGTCATTCATTCGTGATGGTGATATTCTCAGTCCTGGAACCAAATTGTTGTATGATTTGTCTGATTTCCGCGTGATGTTGTGTACTTGTGATTTGATGAGATGATGGTAGTTTTGTCGTTCTTCGATATTTTTATGTTTCTAAGCTTTAGGACATGTTCACTGTTTATTCTCATTTCAGGCCTGCTGTATAAAGCCAGTCTGGGTCTTCTTAACATGTTCATTGGCCTAAAGTCACACACTCTGATTGTGACAAATAATATTGCTAGACTAGCAGTTACACATAGTCAGACCAACATGCGTGGTACCACGCCGCCGAGGGTTTTGCACTTTACTGCTTTTCATTTGTGAAGGTACTTCGTGTACGGAAAATTTCGTTCTCAAAATATTGACTTGCCAGGTGTGGAAATGGGCTAGCACAGTGCCTTGACGCTTTGCTGTTAAAATATGACAATAAGATGAAAATTATTAGCGAAGATAGTGCTATCATGCGGTACCACTTATTGTTTCCCCCCAGATGTCCCATTTCTTCATTGCCGTTCACGTATAAATTTTGCTAGTGCATGGCGCTTATATCTTTAGTACTCATACTTTGCCAACAGTATCTTACACTGCTGATCGATATGTATGCGAGAAATGTAATGTGCGGGCAACACTACCGTGGCCCTCCCTGTGAAAGAGTAAAAGTATGGTACTTCACCTAACTACGACAGTTAGGCTGCAGGATGACTGTAATCTACGAAGTGGCCCACGTACGTATAAGTGATATGAACGGCTTCAGAGCTACTACTGCATTGAACACAAATTTCCTGAAATGACTGAATTCAAGAGATATACTGAGAAAACAAGTAAAAAAACGTAAATAATGCGTAATCGAAGTGGCTTACCCCTATCTGATCTGCTTGCTCTGGAGGCACAATAAGTCACAACGGAAGGCATAATAATTATATTGGGCTAGCTATCTACTAGTTTAGTTGGCCTCTGTCAGTGTCTCCGCGAACCACTAGCATGAGACGACAAGTCAATTTATACCAGTGGTACATTTATATTAGTGGTACCACTCATGAATAGGGATTCGTGTGCCGAGGGTTTGCACTTTAGTGCTTTTCATTTATTCTACTACACCTACATTGACCAGGAATTTAAAACTCAAGCCTGTGTAACATTCACGAGCAAATATCATGTAGTGCAACACGTGATACATCTGCACAAAAAGCTGTACACAATTGTATTGTTTAGCTATGCAAAGATTAATTACTCCTTTACCAGCTCATAGTTGTAGAGGGTAGACATCACCATCGGGAATAGTGTTTGGTTGTCACTGATCATTACTGGTATGTCACTCTTGAACAATAAACTCTTTAGAATATTTGTGAATTGTCCTGCATGCGTATAAAATGATTAAATGATATGTGTGGGCACATCAAAGGTGTCACCTGTGCTATAATTTCTACATTGCAAATGGGGCTAATGAACGATTTTGAAAACGGCTAGACGCTGGTTGTATCAGAGCGTCGGTAGACGCTCTATATAGGGATGACACGGGTGAAATCTCACGTGATCCGCGTACAAAACGCCTCAAAACTTGGCGAGAATGACTCACCATTGCTTGAAAATCACTAGCAATAGTCTACAGGCCAATACCTAGCTATACATACTCCCCAAGACTTCCTACGTGCCCTCAGTTCCCCACGAGAGAATTGGCTCTTACGCGATTTCACGATTTTCGTGTCATCATCATCATCATCATCATCATATTCTTCATCTTCCGGTTTCTTCTTCAGTAAACCCGCTATCTCGTTACCGAAGCCAGGATGCCTGCAGAGGAACTCTTATCCTCCAGTGCCTTCTGTAAGTCAGTATACACATTTTTAACTGGCTAGCTTGCTTTTAGCTGTTGATTTGCACGTGGCAGTCTGCGCCGGGTTACGCGAGCCTTACAAATTAGCCTTCTTTCTTTGTCCCCCGGGTAGCTAGCTAATAGCTATATACCATTACTGAAGCCTGCCCATGAAATCGCCACCGTGTGCCACCACCTGATTATTGCGTCCTTGTTGGCCTGGAGACACTACGCGTACATCCCCGCTTCAGGCGCAGCAGCCCATTAGCTACTGCTTTCATCAGTTATCTCTACAACATACCCATGAACATCAGGTGACTGAAAATGCAGTGTTGTCATAAGCAGTTAAAAATAGTGGAAACAAGTGGAAAAATCATTTCTTCAAAATGAAAGGGGGATATAGGGATGGCTTGAAGCACCAAAAAGGAACAAACAAGGGGTCATTACACGGCAAAGTTGCACAAAGCTACATGACACCATCCCTATATCTTTGTTGTTATACGGCTCTGCAATAGAGGTTGTCTTGCATGTATATTTAGCTCAAGGGAAAGTTTGCTTATAAACAATAAAACAAAGATATAGGGATGGTGTCATGTAGCTTTGTGCAACTTTGTCGTGTAATGACCCCTTGTTTGTTCCTTTTTGGTGCTTCAAGCCATCCCTATATCCCCCTTTCATTTTGAAGAAATGATTTTTCCACTTGTATACATCACGGCAGTCCAGTACAAGAGCTTGAAGCGGAGCCAGTGTCGTGACTGCCACTACCCACAAAAATGCCACCAGAAAGCTACACTCGCGTATGCTCAAGGTTAGCAAGTTCTTGGTTGCTCCAGCCAGGCTGCCACAGCCAACCACGAACTACGCTATGAGCAGCACTGAGAAAATATCTCCACGGTCCACACAGTTTCTCTGCCTGAGCTTATTTTCCCAGAAGCTCGCGTTGTTAGTCGAACCTGTTGGGTACATAATATGTATTTCCCTGCCACAACACTTTCGAGGGTAGGTTTGCCACGAAAATATCACACTGTTTCTTATTACGTATATACTTATATAATTTCCAAGATAATATGGTTCCCCCAATTCCTTAGGTTCCTCTAGTTCCTGTGGATCCTCAGGTTCCTCTAGTTCCTCTGATACCCTTGGTTCCTTTCGTTCCTTGGGTTCCCTTGGTTCCGAAGGTTCGTCTGGTTCCTCTGGTACCCTTGGTTCCTTTGGTTCCGCTCCAGTCCGCCATGATGCACACGTATTCAAAAGTGAACCCACCAAAATGCAATTGCGTTCAAACCAGCATGATGTACGAAACTTTAAAACAAGCGTCAAAGAACTAGCCATTCTTGTGTGGCGGATTGCGGTCATATTATGCCCTTGTGCAGGAATGCAATTAGAATCTTCAGGTCACTCCCTCGGGTACTAATTGCATTCCTGCAGTCGGGCCTAATTCGCATGCCACCTATTACCACTTTTAAGCTGTGCAAAAAGTGATGATCTTAACAGGTGGATGCTTTTATAGGTAATTCAGTGTCCTTGAATCACTAATGTTATTTTAACAAATAAACAGCTTTTCATAAACAAATATCTTGCTTGCGTAGACAGTTTTATTAACCCTCGGCCCGCATGCGCAGCGAGGGTTACGGTACTTGGTATGTCGGTCTGTCTGTCTGTCTGTCCGCGCGAGTTCTCGCACTACAGGCTACGAGGTGGCCAATGAGTGGCACCAACGGGTTGTGAACAACGAGAAGATGGATATTAACGTGGCGATTTTCCTAAAAAGACCTGCATTCCAGAGATATGGCTTGAAAACAAGCGAAAAAGCCAATGTGCAATCGATCGCACACGCGCCCTCTCTGGCAGGCTATATAGCGCGCACGCATCATGTTAATTATTCGCCGGAGCATGCGTTGGTTGTATATAAGATCCACGGGCTTTTGTCAGTTTTGATCTCTGTTCTCTTTGTTTTCAATGGATAAACATGCTGAGCAAGGTATGTTCGCAATGTAGCATAATAGTTCAGTTGGCGAGCAGTTTGTGGCTGCGGCCTTGTCTTCCCATCTATAAAACGTCCGGCGAGAGCATTGAAACACAGAAGAGCGAATAAAGCAAAGAGAGGCTCTAAAACACCTGAGCCATTGCTCTAACCGCTAATGCAACTAGCTACCTTGTGTTACGGCGAGACTCGTGTTACTGGCTCCGCACGGCCCAGCAAACGGCGATGCTACAACTCGCGCGTTTAGCGCCGAGGGTTTGCACTTTAGTGCTTTTCATTCAACAATTACACATGCACATGTACCTTTAGGGTTTCCTTTGGCTTGTGGTTGGCTGGGCTCCTGTTCTGATCCACAAGTATCCACTGTACTCTCTGCCTTAATGTTACACAAACACTTTCTCTCTCCCGTCGTTAAGATATCTAACAGTTCTTTGCCATCTGAATGTTTAACAACGAGTATCGGAAGGGGAATTTCTTTGCAACATCCTGTTCCAACACCAGAGAGTTATCGTTGTTATCACCACCAGTGCCTTCGTATGCTTGTTACTAGTTTCTAACAACCCTTTGTTTTGTACTAAAACATGGTCATGTTCAACTTTAGCATCTAAAACAATCAATATCTTTGTCAATGGATTAATGCAGTCTATCCCAGGAGGGAGTCCATAAGTAAATGATCTCAGAGGCATTATATCATCTCCAATTATAACTTCTAGCCCTGTAGAACGAGATTAAACATTCACTTGAGTTAATTTACATACACATATATAGCTACAGTAAGACACTAGAACTTGAATTTTTATACAAGTGACTCATCAAAATGACCACCAATCTATCATGCTTGTTCATTTGAAACAACAGGTCTCATGACTCCTTGTGACTGTCACGTGACATCAGATCCTGTTGAAGACAGGCGCCAAGACTTTGAATAAATAACTAAAACTCAAGCTACACAATAATAATGTAGAGAAACATACTTTTTAGGCCAGTAAAATCTCACAGCTAACCAGAAAATTAAGTTAATGATTATAGACGCCAGATTTTTGGATGAGGGGGTTAGAGCAAAGTATAGGGAGGCCTTGAAAGCGGAGGTTGAATCATTTTCAGAGAGCATCAGGGAGAAAGTGAGTGAGGGTATTAGTGGGTCAGTGCAGTTGTAGAGGAGTGGGAGCAAGTTGTAAAAAAGGTGGCAAGGGCTGAGGTAG